GGCGGGGTGTCTATGAGCATTTCCCCGAGTATAAAAAGAAAAGATGTTTTTGAATTTGCATTGGAATGAATCATAGCAAACAAAGCAACTAGAATTTGAATTATAGTAAACGTCTTATTGTTAAATCTGCATTTTAAAGAAATATCACGTCGAATGGAAATTTATTTATGATTTATATCATGCACAAAGCTACTATACCATTGACTATCGCAATATTTAGAACGTTACCTCGTTCTGGAAGGCAAACAGGCCTCATCTTTCCCTCGAATCGAATGGCGTCCTTCAGTTTGACGAGCGCGATGTCATTGTTATAGTTGTACGTCGAATAACCGCTATGCTTGATCACTTTCTCGACTTTGAATTCTTGAATCTCTGTCTCTGTGGTAGAATTGCGATCGTGCTCTAATATCCGAATTAACATGAGTTTCGGATCGAACCTGTTTCAATTATTTATGGATTGAATTCATGTTACGATAGATCAAGATATCAATGGAATTATTGGTCGATTAAATAGTGTCACGCGTGTGCTGTCATTGTTATATATATTACACCACATGTAATGAAAAATTGCTATTCTTTATTTTGTTATTTTTAGAAAAATCGTTTAAAATTAAGAGAAACGAAAATGTCACAAATTTCTACATCAAATTGGAGAATAATCTCAAAACAACGTAGCGTAACAATCCTATTATAACTATTATCGTATACGATACAGCGAAATGATTCGAGTTGTTCTAATGTCACTAATTCCATTGCCGATGTTGCTACATTATTACGGTATATAATTATGTACTATATAATACTGTATACATTATTATTGTGTATAATAAATTACTATATGGATACTATAATATTACGAAATCACCTGTCGACACAATGAGCAGCGGTTAATACATAACGAGAACTTATAACAGATCCGCCGCAATAGAATCGTCCTCTAAACATCATTAATGCCATCCATGGATATTGATTAACTTGGGTCTCAACACCACCTACGATCCGTTTCTGTGTGTTCGTTAAACCACATTCTAGAAAATAACATATTATTACGTAAGTTTAATTAATTTCATTAAGTAATGTTCTTTAAATGCAAAATAAAGGCATAAGTAAAAACAAAATAATACCAATTTTTATTCATTGGTTTATTTGAATCTAATTTATCTGAGTCATTATTGTTGTTTTATTGAATTTATTTAACATTACTTTAGTCCTAATTAACAATATTAATGTTAATGTATCACACAGTTGTAAATGAAAAACTTATATAAATTGATCTCTATTAAATAAGACATAAAGAGTATTTATTGTACATCTTCAAATTTTTAATATTGAACAAATAATCTCGTTTCGAGTTTAAACTCACTGCAAGGTAAACACGATTCAGTCGCTGGTCTCGGAAGTTCAGTTGTTGTCACGGGTACTGTTATGGATCCACCAGCGGATATTAAACTGGACAGCCATTCCCAGAAATTTTTATCATCCGTAGCTGCTATATTATACTGCGTTGCATTTAAGTCAACTTCTTCAACGGGGATTGGCGAACGTAACTATAAATTTTTATATTTATGTCACCTTTTGTTGTTTGCAGGAACAATATATTGGAAACAAGAATTTGTACTTTCCGTAAATCTTAAGCGAAAAATTTATATTTATTTTAACAAGATCTCTAATATTTATTGCAAAATGCCTTTATTATTACTTATGATTAACCAATTGCATAATATACAGAATAAGATATTAATATAAATGTGTTATAATTAATGCCTTCACACATTATGCTTTAGTATATTATTAATTAACTAAATGCGATAAATGTATTTATTTTCTATAAAACTGATCGTTCAAATTTTAGTGTATTATGTCTTTTTCACAAAACTATCTGAAAAATGTGTTTCTACCTTTAATAACTAAGGAAAGATCAATTTTGCACATGCTAAAAAGAGATGCGATCCTCAGAAGAACAAGGATTATTTTATCGAGCAACATTTATATTTTGAATATTTATGTTTAAAAATTGAAGTCGATAAATATTCAACACGCAAGCGCGTACTTCAATCTTTGATTTCAAATTCGAACGTACGATTGTAAAAACATAGAGCATTGATCTGAACATCTTTCATTGCCGTTATGTGTCCTCAATAAAAATTCTCATTAGATATGCAAAGCGGTAAGAGATTATACCCAATAAATATTATAACAAATTCTGTTCTTCGCAAAAAAGAAGCCATGAAATTAGCTCTAACGCTTCACATAAAACCAAAACTCTAATAAATCGTAAGATAAAACTTACATTTGATTCCCCAAGAGGAAAGGATGACCCTATAAGAATTTCATACTATCATTCTTCACTCGTGATTCAATTCAGCCATTCAGTTTCATTACCCCTATTTTATCAAACATCAACCTTAACTTTTCCAAGGACGAGTTTACTTCAGGACGGTAAAATATTTCTTCAGATAAGGGAAAGGCTATTCTTTATTTTTCATTTTTATGTGTTCAAAGAATATAGATATGTAATGTCGGAAAATATCTTTAAATTATGAAATGTTTCAGGGTATATGGTACAATCATGCACCTGTATGTAGTTAATGTATTTTTCTACCTTCGTGTATGAATAAAAAATAAATTAAAGGAATACATGTAGTAACGTACGAAAGTTTCAATTAGTGTTTCATATATTCTACTCTTGCGCGTATTAAATTAGCGATATTTAAAATAAATATAATAGAAATAAATTCTAAATTTAGAAAATATTGGAACAAAGACTTTTTACGTATCTATAATCCATATTTATGTAAAATAATCCATAACAACAGAGTGTAATGATCTGTAAACCCTACGAATAACTTACAACTCGTGACTCGCGAAATTTCACCAATAAATTAGTTTTCAATTATATATGTTTTTAATTAATTATAAGAAGTTAATTCACTCAATTAATCCAATTATTCGTGCACAGTTTGGGAAAGTGTCGAGATCTTTTGTAAACGATGTACCACGATTAATCGGTTACTTACTTTCTCGCAATTAACGGCACACGTTGCTGCGAACACAGCGATCACGCAGAATATCGTACGGATCCACATGTTCGCGTCGATCGCGGAACGAATACTATCTTGTCACGGAACGAATACTATGAATTCTGTACCGCTTGGCCACTGAATAAAAGGGAGCAACCGATTGAATCGGACTCGGAATCTACACTTCCTACCAGGTCGACGTACACTTTCACACAACACTTCGACGATGCTCGTCACTTCTTTATTTATACGGAATAGTGGACTGGCGAGTAGCTGAGGTGAAAATTTAGGCTGACCGTATGTAAATTTACAGACGCAGGCAAACAACATCGCGTATGGAAACGACGCAAGTATAGGTGGAATCCTGCAACGTCGATTGTACGGTTCGCCAATCTTGTTTGTCCATTCGATATTAAACAAAGGTATACCGCTTATATAAACAAAATATATAGAAATTTTGTAATTTACTAAGACCTATTAACTATCTTCTTATTTCCCTATTTATTGTCAGCATAATCATCATTTACTGTTATCTTAGTACGTAATCTCCTTATTATTATTTTTTTTTTTTTTTTTAGAAAGATATGGTACCTAAATTTATTGAAACCTATTACTCAAATTTATGAAACACTCGCTTTATATCTGTTTCACCGAAAATTCCATTTTTTATGAAACATTAGAGCATAAATCTTATCAACTACTCGATAAACGTCGTCATTACTGATATGTAGAGGATCACCACGATCACCATAATAAAGATGAAAGAAATAAAAATAGTAAATTTAAATAGCACATTTTTCTGATAAATATTCAGTGACACACGTATAGATACATAAATGTTTGATGCACGGTCGTGTAAAGGTAAATGTACAATGACGTAATACTTTCATTCATATGCATTGTAAAGCGAGATGTTAACAATAGTGATGGAAGGGATTTACCTGTCATTATCTTGCGCACACTCTTGCCTTCCTTGTCGGTACCAGCGCACAGCACATCGTCTTGACGGATACTTGGTTTTACAATAGTTCTTCATGCAAATCCAAAGCATCATTTCTTGCATACTATCTGAGTTGCGTTCTTTTGTTCATAATATAACTCTACAAATGGATTTTGATATGTTTTTTTTAATAAAATAGACATTTTTTTCTGTTTCTCTTTTAAAAATATTTCTAGGTACAATAAGATCGAAAGGTTTGGTACTTTTATCAGGAATAGCACATAAAGTTTAATTTTCTCTTTCATAGAATAGTGTTCAATTTTTAACAATTTCGTCCTTTTAAAGAAGAAAAAAAATATTTATAGCAATTTCATAACAAGTGAAATTTCCCTTAAAAATTGTATAGCAAATTAATTTAAACATGTCTATCAAAAAAAGGAATATAAAATTTTATTAGACAAAATAGGTATTTTTGTATTGAAATGAATCGAATTTACATTGAAATGAATCGAATTTGAATTAGATCAAACTTCTCATTCGGAAGCGTATCTTAAACAAATATCGCAAGGAATGAGAAGTTATTTCTGGATTATGCCATGCATAAAGCTATCGTACCATTGTATAATACAACATTTAGAACGTTACCTGGTTGTGGCAGACAAGCAAACCTCATGTCTGTATTGAATTTAATGGTGCCATTCAGTTTCAGGCGTGCGATGTCATTGTCATTATTGGACGGTGAATAACCCTTATGTATAATAATTTGTACCGCATTAAATTCTCGGCGCTTTATGTTTATGGAATCCCTGTCGTTCAATATTCAAATCGACGAAAGATTTAGCTCCTAGTTGTCCCAATAATTTATGGATTAAATTTATGTTACAATAGATCAAGATATCAATGGTATAACTGATTGATTAAACACTATCACATATAAATTACACACACACATTTGTATATATATATGACAGTGGATCAAGGTATATGGGTCATAGCACCCTTATGCGGGTGAGGCATCACTTTATTGTCTGTTTTGACAAATAACATAATCAACAGCCTTGCCTCATTTACACTTATCTCCAAGACGAGATTGATACCTTGATTTCAATTTTTTCACGGGTAAGGTTAAGTTCTGTATGTCAGTTTCGACTTATCGTGCGCCCATGTACATATCAGTAGTAATAATATATTTGTTAGAAAAAATAAAACCGATTAGTGTCAGGTCGTACTTACGATGCATTTATTTAATTGCATGGTGTACAAGATAAAGTTGTGACAAATCACTATAGTTCTTATAGTATATCTTTGTATGGTAATAATGAGCATGTCCTAGGTCAGGACATGGTATAATTAAATTACTAATCTGATTTAATTCTTTTATGTTTTTACGATATGTTTAAATTGAGATGTTTATTGCTAATGATACAAATGTAGCGTGAAGCACCTGTTGCATTCCAGTTTTTGTATACTTCAGCAAAATAACGTAATGAGGCAAATATCATTAAAAATAAAGATATAAAGATATCAAATAAAGCTTCAAATAAAGATATTCCCGATGCAAAGAGAATGCCACTACATAGATAGCCATCGTATTCATTAATCGCAGAACACTAACGTTTGTAACTTTTACCACTGGTAATTCATTTATAGCCTTCGTTCGTAAAGAATATTTATTTTCCATAATTAAATACATAATAATCCAATTATTAAATGAAAAGAAAACATAATGTATAGTATAAAGATAAAAATCTCGAGAGAATCGTAAATTTTACGAACACTAGAATTACGTAATTCCAAGAATAGGTAGAACAAGGCATTTATTAACTGAATCTCGCGTAATTTTTTATATTGCACAACATTTTACTATAAAGAATGGTATCGTGGAAGTAATATATCAGAAGAAAGATTAATCTACCTTATATCCTGAAATCCGTCTTTTTGATAAATTGGGTAATTCTAATATTAATTTTGTTTGTATTCTGAAGATAGATCATGTTCTTTGTCATTCTACAGAACGTAATCGAATTGATCTCCGGATCAGAGGACGAGGCAAAACCACTAAAAGAAGTCAGGAACATGCATAAAATATCGAACACTTTCCTGCATCCGAACGATCTTCTCTGTCCAATCAACACTCACCTTTATCCGTGATTTCTTCCGTAAGCCACACATTCGTCCTACAAATTACAATTGTCCTTTCGTACAAACCCATTCACTGTAAAATAAATAACTGAATTCCAATGTAGAGGTGACGGAACCTCGTTACGATACTTGTTCGATAATGAACATAACGGGACGCCAATCGACGTGGGCGGATTACGGCGAAATCAGAAAGGAACAATAATTATTGGACCCTACGCGACCAATTACCATGAGAAAATTACGGGTCGAGTCGATAAATCCGTGGAAAACATGATTTTCCCAAGTAGATATAGAATTTTCCCTTCCTACGTGCTTTATTCTTTCCTTGAAACGTGATCAGTAGATAAATATTTGTCTATGGTATATAGTAAATAGAATTCTTTCTTTGTTACGATTTCCGAATTTTTATATTTCAATTTTGCTAATATTACAACAAACAAATAAGAGATTGTTTTAGAAATATATTTATCGTAACATTGTAGCGTTGCTACACTTTTTCCGGAACGCTGAAATTCCGTATGAAGAAAGACGATACGGTGTGTTTCCGACTAAGTCGTAAGTCGTTAAATATTTGCCTTGGCTTTACGAATCTGGAGACAAGTGCAAACGACTATTACATTAACCCGATTTCAAACCGCAATGATAACCCACGTAACACTCTCACAATACCACTTGGAATTTCACCTAGTCTAATCTTTACTAATTACACATCAAACGAAACTGTTTCATGGACCTACAATAATTTCTGTAGCCGTTTCAGCTTGTCTATGGACCTATCTCTATATGCCTTTTGCCGTCTGTAGCGTGCGTTGGGAAATGACGATCATTGGTGGAAACGAGACAAACATTTACAAACATCCCTGGATTGCTCGCACGAGCAAACAAGGCGCATTCTACTGCGTTGGCAGTTTAATCATGCGGAAACACATAACACAATACATGGAAGGGTGATTATCCTCAGTCGAAATAGTTTCATAACAGAGATTCCTTAATTCGCTTTAATGCCTTTAGTCACTTTAATCAAATTAATTGAAAATAAATTTTGTTTCCACGTCGTCTAATCAACTAATACTTTTACCCTTCTAAACAAAATTCAAGCTGTTTGATTCGATTCTGAAAAAGTTATTTCGTTTTGTAAGACATTCGAATACATTCACGAGTCACTGTATATAAAGCAATTTTGTTTTTTACAAGTTCACTTGTTCCGTGGAGAGCTCTAAAGTTTCTTTATTAAGCTTTTCACGTCTTGGAAAGAAAGTTTCAGCTCTTGTTTCCTTTGATCTTGTTAATGCAGAATATAAAACGAGTGTTCTTCTGAACAGTCACTTGCCGCTGGCTTCTTCTAATATCACTATCCATGTCCCAAACCAGTCATATTTTTCAGCAAAATTGTCATCTACAAATAGAATTGTTATGTTTTGAAAATTTATTTATGGTCTATGCGATGCACCAAGTTATCGTATATTGCAGCATTTAAAATATTATCTGTTTTTGGAAGACGAGTAGGCCTCATCTTGCCCTCGAATCAAATGGCGTCCTTCGATTGCTATCCGATTTATAAAATTATTTTCACAATAAAAAAATATTAATTAACTAGTTGAAAGAACGACAGAGTTTCATCGTGAACTGCAGTTTATTTATTCGTGGGCGATTTACTGTGTATGACTGTCTTATCAAGAGTCTAGTTAACATTCCAAGAAATATACGATAAGATGATGTAGGACATAGGATTGTATTTCACCTGTAGCCCGTGACAGTGGGTCAAGGTATATGGGTCACAGCACCCTCATGCGGGTGAGACATCGCTTTATTGTTTGCTTCGATGACTAAAGTAATCAACAGCCTTGCCTTATTTATACTTATCGTCAAGGTCAGATTGTCACCCTGATTTCAACTTTTTCACGGACACGTTTAAGTTTGGCTAATTTCGGCTTATCAAGCAACTATGTACATATTAGTAGTAATAATAAATTTTCTAGGAAAATTACGACCGGTTAGTATTGGGTCATACTCATGATGAATTTAATTGCGTGGCATATGAGATAAGGTTGTGATAGATCGCTGT